TCACAACAAGAAATTCTTCTCAGGCTATTAACAATAAATGGCATCAAAAGAGCAGCATGGCATCATGGTGTGACCTAGGTGACTGAACACTCAGATTTTGCAACTATCCAGCTTGGAGCACAAGGTTATTATCCAGGTACATCAGTTCATGAAAGTTATGTGTGCCATCATTTTTATTTGCGTTATTCTCACCTTGAGAAGCGTAATATCGTACACCATCAAAAGGAGGTGAGGAACTGTGCTACTATGATGTTTAAAGATCATAATAACCAAGCTCTGCACGGTTAAGTAATCCAAGCTTGGTCTGAATTAGGCACAGATCGGTTTCAGAGGTATAGTGAAAGTTTAGTCACCTCTGCCAAAAGTCCCTCATTCCTCGTTTAAAGGGCGCTTTTGGTTTTATCGTAATGTTTTGCCATCAGCCACTCAGAGAATTCACCTTCCTCTCCCCCAAATGTCCTGTTGGAGCTTTTCCCAGATCCACAAAGGTTCATTATCTCAGAAAACATTTTAAATAAATGTTTGTTTTAATTCCACCTATTGTGCAAAACATAACATACAGTAGGAAGATAAATTAAGTTGATTCATTTTTTTAATTAAGTTTAAAAAAAACTTCAAATTGTCCAACCCCTGTATGTCGCATGAGAAAAAGACATTGGAAATGCTACAGTATCAAGCAGGAAATCTGACAGAATTTCAATCTTACCTTCTAAAAGGGTAGCGTCACTACAAAACATTTTAGGGAAAATTGAGGGAAGCCTGTCTTAAAGCATGGATTATATTATTGTAGTATATCAGTAAGTGATGCATCTTCAGATTATAAGAATTTTATGAGTTCTTTAAAACTGTATGGATATTTCTGTCTGGCATAACTACAGTAGACAGTTCCAGGCCTGGAGGGAGTCGGGCTTGCAATCCTACCCCCTGCCCATCTCAAGACCACTCACAATGACCAGGTTTTCTCCTCAGCAAAAGAGGTTCAGCTTTATTTTTCAAGGAACATCCTCATGCAAAAGGCCACATGATCAGGATAGCTTTGCAAAATTGCAGTTGGGGAGAAGAAATACACACAAAGAAGCATTTTCTCCCAGGATCTTTCAAATAAAGTTATTTTTTATGCTATTTGATGATCTAAGTTACACCTCACCTTAAAATCTTTAGCATTTTATTTGACTTTATCTATTTTTTTTGTATTGATTAACTGTAACTTTTGTTGTTGCCCTGTTTTCGTTTTTTTTCAAATGGGGAAGTGCATATTACTTAGCACGGGTTTATGAAATTCACATGTAAATATGCAAGACTTTGCAGGTTTATTTTGTTCAAGTGCAGGTCAATGTTTACAAATGTTTCACACACCGAAAAAAAAAAAATAAAGGAATAGGCAATATAGCAATAGAAATCATCAGTACATGAGCAGAAAAAGAAGACAATTATAGTAGTGCAGACAATAAAACAGTTCCCTCTGATACAAGTTTATGTGCATATATAAACTTCATATATATAAAATCTTCAGGCTCAGATGTTATATAACACAAGAGACATTGAAGAGTGTCTCTTTGCTGTGTTAATGGCATCAACACATTTCCCAACCAATTAAAGAAATGTTAGATTGGGCAGATATTACACTCAGATTATAGAGATGGAGCCTGGGTGGTTGGAATATTAATTAAGAAAGCCTTTTCCTTAACCTGTTGGAATATTCACTCATGTCATCACACCAGATTTAAAGGGTTTATTTATCATAGTCTATTTTATAACATTACCGTGAAATATAATTTATCATAGAAATGAGAAAATATCTGATAACTTAGAAGAATTTAGATTACTCTTATTTTTCTCACTTCTATGTCACTCTTCTATTATTTGGGGATGCATTAACTTTGCATTACAACCAGTCTAAGAACAATGTAGTTCTAAACAAACAGTCAAGCTTTTAATTAATTTTTGTACTTCATGCAGTCACACAGACTTTTTAAACCCCAGGATCACAAAATTATGTCTTTTTTAACAAAGTCTTTTTCATTCTTTTCTGCAGTCCACTTTTTATATTCAAAAATTAGCTTCCCTTATTTATTTTTTATTTTTTTCTTGAACGTATTAGCCTCCTTGTATCAACAGTGTAAGGCCAACTTTACATGAATATTCTACTTTGTGAGCACAAGTAGGAACCTTCTGTTCCCACTTTTGGGCTTTGGGTTAGGCGTAGAACTATGGTGTGAATCCAGTTTAAATTAAGTTTATAATTAGGAATGCAGGAGTAATGGTTAAAGTCAGGATCTGGGTTAGACCATACAAATGAATCCAAAAGGAATGAAAGTCAATGCAAAATATCCATATAACGGGGTCTTGTTTTTAATATATCGTGTCCAAAAAATAGTGTCTTCGCTTCCTCCATATTGACTCTTTAGTCAAAACCCACATTTGATCTTTAGAGGTTTTGTGAGATCTCCCGTTTGAAATCTGAACCTTCCCTAATAAAATCTGGTAGTTTGTGGTATATTGTGCTTGTTCTTTGGTTGTACACCATTCACTTTGAGACAGAACCTGTTAGATCCATTTTTTTTTTTTTTTAGCCATTATGTGTGGGGTCATTTAGGTTTTGAAAATTAACAACTAATTGAGTTGGGTCAGCTTTAACACCTCCGTTTTCTTAGTAACGGCTGAGTGTGCACCTTGGTGCTTTGCTGAGGTGAAAGAAGAAATGGTTTAGAGTTTCCAGATGGGTATTTTCTGTGGTCCTGATGGCACATAAACTGTGATTTTTGCTTTACCTGTTTTATACAACCAGAAAGCTAATTCCCTCACACATGTTTTCTTTATTTTTTTGCCATCAGAATCTAAATAGCAGGCTCTGTATTTTTATGCATGTACAGTATATATTTACAGTATTACATGCATAAAAATGAACTTACTTTTTGAACCTTTAATTTTTTTACAGAGGTTTTTACAGCACTAGTGGCTCGTGTTTTTATACAGTAGGCTGACAGAAACAGGGGTAAGAGAGAGGGGGAGAGAGAGAGTCAGATTTGAACCTGGGTTGGCGATGTCGAGGACTAAGGCCTCCGTATGTGGGTCGTGCGCCCATCATTATTTTGTCTGATGTAGATCTGTTGACCATAATTACCACATTTATAATAAATATTGTCCTCTATGCAAAAAAAAAATAAGCAGTTTCAAATAATATAAACATGGAAACATGGAACATTTCATGATCCATGTTTTATTTAACTGTATATTGTATGATTTAACTGTATATTGTATATTAAATGTATATTAAAATGTTAACAAAATTATTAGTTTAATAAGTGATATGTTTCAGCAGTAGAAAAGCACTCTGTGAGCACAGACCTGTGCCAAGCAGCAAATTTTGCCACAAATTGTGACTTACACCTACAGCTAAAACTTACATATAATTTTAATGAATTGTTCCTTGGCATGAGGCGCACCTCTAGTAAAAAGTTTCCATAAGACTTGTTCATAAGTTTTCAATTGATCCTGCTAACAAACCAACAATGTTCCCTTTTCTTGTCTTTTTGTCTTCAGTAAAATACCTCCGGACTTTTTGAGTCCAATGCTGAGGCTGTCCATAGTCACTGCTGCCACCCGCTGGTTTAGTGGGAAACTGCTTGTTCTAACACATATCCTTATTCAACGATGTGCGAGAATAAAAAAAAAATCCTTTATCTAGATTATGATTTGTATCATCACCAAGATTTAATGAATTGTCCTTTGGCCTAAGGGATATTGCTGACAAAAATGTGTCCTGTCCATAACTTTCCAAGTTATCCTGCAGACTGACAGACAGACAAACACATAAAGTCTCGTAAAAACATAACCTTCTTGGCGGAGATGATGATAAGGCAACATGTATTAATGGGGACAAATGGAGATCTGAAGTACATTATTTAGTTTGCATATAAATTAAACCGCATCCCATGTTTCTTAAAGATGTATTTTCATGAAATGAAGTTGTGTACATGTACCTTTATGCAAAATATTAGTCATCTTATTGTTATGAAAGGGTGTCCTAAGTATTTTTTCTTAATTTTTTTGGGCAGGGACAGAGTATAGGGAGTGATTTGTACAATAACAGATTCAGAACTTAACACCCAGTGGTTGATTTTTTTTCCCTTTTGTTTAAAATTAAAAGATAAAGAAAACTTAACCAGTCATAATGTTTTGCATGGGAAGCCCAATTTTACATCTCATATCAGCAGCATGTATCCTTATTTATGAGAGTATTTTCAGAGTAAGATTAAAATAAAACTGCACTTTTTGGATTTGGCTCCTTTCATATATGTTTGTAAATGCATCTCATAACACTACCATCTATTCTTTGTGATCGAGAGTAATCTTTCATTCAGTAAATGTCTGATATATCTTGAGTTTAGTAAAAGGAGATGCTCATTATATATACAGTGACTCACTCTGAGTAATCAGTCTGTTTGGTCTTTCCCATTTACATGGGAACAAGAGTCTCAGCAGATCACTCACAGATCAATTGAAGAATGAATGGACTTTGTGTTTCAATTCTTGCTCTCTTTTGCTTTTGTCAGTCACATCGATCAGTTGGTTCATTTTAATTAATGTCCTTTCCTTAGTGTCTTTTTGCTGTGAATTTGATTGTTTATATGTATAGCTGCTGTGTTAAAACTGGAAAATGGGGAACAACAGAGGGCAAGAAAAAAGTGTACAAAAATTATATTTTGCAAAGATAAAAAGAGTGATGGTTATCATGTCTAATTATTTTTTATGTCTAGATGTTTCTAGACTTCCATTTCTTTGAGATTCTGTGAACAAAATTCACTGTAAATTCCTATATTTATTAGTGATCAAAACATGGCATACATTTGGATGGGTTAACACATATTAACATTATTTAATGTCTTAAGTAAAGGATACAAAAAAAAATGCTCACAAGTGTGGGAGTTTTTATTCGAATGGTTCATATAATTGTTCCCACATTAATAAATTAAAATGCGTCTTTTCTTTCTTTGCAGATCACGAATCGCTACATCTATGACACAGTTCTGCTTCTGGCCAATACCTTCCACAGAAAGTTGGAGGACAGGAAGTGGCACAGCATGGCCAGCCTGAGCTGCATCAGGAAGAACTCCAAGCCTTGGCAAGGAGGCAAGAGCATGCTAGAGACTGTAAAAAAGGTAGGGGTGCTTGCCTGTGAAAAAAAAAAGTAAAAACAACAACAAATATTTTGGTTAATAATGTAATTTTCATGCATTATGCAATGAAAGCAATATGCAAGAAAAACAGGTAGCTTATATGCTGAGGGAGGAGTGTAGAATGGCACTGGATTCAGATTATGTAATCAAAGGAATGTGAAACTGCTTTGGAGGAAAACAGAAGAGGAATACTGAGGGAAGTCAAATAATTCAATTACCGCACAGCTCAGAAGAATGTAACAAAAGAATTGGGGGACACGACAACAAATTTAAGCCTTTTAGCAGTGTTTGTATTTAAACATAAGTCTAGGGGATGCGCTGGTATGTATGTGTCTCTGTCTGACACCCATGAGAGGGATAGGTCTCTATCAAAAATGGACTGGCTCACACATGACCTCTCGCATCTGACACATGGCTGCATGCATCTCACATCATTCTGCGTCCTCCCACGCACTCAGCACATCTCCATTTGCGAAATCAGAGCCCGTTAAACAAAGTCCAGGTAGACCCGTGTCCCCACAAGACCTTAAATGCCCTCCATTCCAGAACCTAATAGAAAGATAATTAAACAGTCCATTTACACCAGGGGGGGTAAAGGCTAACACTGATCGATGAGAATAAACCAAACTACACAGAAAACAGAACAAGATAAAAAAAAGTAAGAACCTTAACCTTAAGGGATTAATCATATGGCAACCCTTCTCTCACGAAAATGAACACAGAGAAATAAAGTAAACATTAAAGAAACCTTTCAAACTAAGATAACAAAAAAGATACGACCAAAAGTAGAACAACAAATGAAAGTTTAAATCCCTGAAAAAACAAGGACCTTAATGAAATCAGTGTGCTGCCTATTACTGATTTTAGAGATACTATAAAAACTACTGTCATCTTTCTTATATGACTGGTTTCCTGGACTTTGCTTCTAATAATGTGTCATTTTAAGTTTCTTTCATGTTTTAACTCTTTTATGCATTATTTACAGTCCAAGTTTTTTTAACCCCTTTTTTTTGCTGTCTCTTTCATTGTGAATTTTTTACATATCAGTTCCTGTTTATTTAGGCGATTTGCCTCATATTAAGGATTATGTTTTATTAATTTCTATGTTCTTGTCCTGGTGTTCCTGTGTCTTAGTTGCCTTTTGTTTTTTTGCTTTTTTGGGTTAAGATGTGCATGCACTGTACAAGCTTTTGCCCTTTTTGGGCCAATTCTCCAGATCCCATCGGGCTGTACAGTGGGTGAAAATCGTGAGCTGTCACATTTTAAACCCTGCGTTTTCATCGTGCAGTTTGAGCTGTAGCTGAGTACAGCGATTAAAAATATTGCAGTGTATGCCCGTCTTTAGGTTCTTTTTGGCCACACCTTTTCCTTTTTGTGCTTGAACACGACAATTCATTGCAAACTACTGCATATATCTTAAGTGAAAAATAATACTACTCACCATATAAAAAAATATCAATTTTGACATCCATTTTTAAAAATCTTTTTCATACGTTCATAATGTTAACATTTTAAAATCCTTTTACTTTAAGATTTCTAAATTATTAGTCAGCCTCTTGCCCTTAGAGTAATTAAAATCCATAAAAATATAGAAATAAGAGCCGTTTAATGCTCTGTTCTGTAACTGTTCTACGCATACAAGAAATGTTGTGCTTTTTTACTTAACATATTCTAAACTTGGCTCCACAGTGGTGCAGTTTGTAGTACTTTTGCCTTGAAGCAAGGTTCCAGGTTCGATTCCTAGCCTTGGGTCTTTCTGCATGGAGTTTGCATGTTCTCCCTGAGCATGGTTGGGTTCTCTCCAGGTTCACCAGCTTCCTCCCACAGTCCAAAACATGACTGTTAGGATAATTGGCATCTCTAAAATTGTCCTTAGGCGTGAGGGGGGGTGTCTGCATGGTTTTATGTCTCTGTTTTGCCCTGGCGACCTGACTGGTGACCTGTCCAGGGTGTACACCTCCTCTTGCCCATTGACTTCTGGAGATACATACTCACCGGCCCCACCACCTGACAGAATACGCAGGACAAGATGGATGGATAGAATAATGGATGAATATTCTAAATTTCAAAACCTTCCATCCATTTTCTGATACGCTTAATCCCAAGTGGTTTGGCGAGGAGTGCTGAACACCCTGGATCAGTCGCCAGTCCATCGCAGGGATGGCGCAGACAAACAGGAAAAAAAAACATTTCCGCACACACTCAAACCTGAGGAGACTTTTAGAGAAGCCAATTAACCTAACAGTAATGTTTTTGGACTATGGGAGGAAGCTGGAGTACCCGGAGAGAACCCACACATGCAAACTCCGTGCTGGGAATCAAACCCACAACCTTCTTGCTGCAAGGCAGCAGTGCTACCCACTGTACCACTTAGCATGAACATGCATGAACCTTTATTTCTACACTGAGATGCTATTTAATTAAGAAAATATAAAAAAAAACTCATTCATTTAACATTTCATCAAACTTAAATGACAATATAAGAGTCAGTCGACTTCTTAGGCCATGTAATAATTCAAAGGCCTTCATTATTTCATTTAAAAATATCTTTATCGATCAACAATTTCCCCTACTTTTCATTTGCGTGAGATAGTTTGTTTGATTTATGTATTTTAACCTTGGGTTTGAACCAGTCATTGGAAACACTTTTACTGCAATTAATTGCAAATGTAGAGAGGTCCTTTGTTTTCATATTTATACAAAAAGACTGGAGGGATAGGACTTTGACTGAATGATGCAGCCACATAAAATGCTAATTCTGGATTAGTGTCAGAAAATAATAAATGTGTTGCAATTGCTTCTATAGCTATCTTTGTATTTCACCTTGAGATCAGGCTGGGGTTTAGCAAACCTTTCATCAGCAAGTTTTGGCTATTGAACCAACCCTGATGAGTGTCTGAACAGATATGTGTTAAAAAGCCCTAAGGTATAATAAACTTTAGTTCAGCAGTCTGGCATCGGTTCCATTTTCGCAGTATATCAGCAGAGTTCTTTACTTACTGTGCGTGCCTAGATATTTAATCAGTATTTTGCTATGTTAGGGCATTATGATAATGATGATTTCTAATTTACATTTGATGATTAGAGCTCTGTTGATGTATTTTTGGTTATCATTGGCAAATCCAAAGTGGGGAACAAACTCATGCAGGTAAAATTGCTCTTTAGCCTAAATAATGTTTCATTCAAGCTGTTGGCAAAATCTTGCTTTCGATGCAGCCCCTTTTCAGTCTCAGAAACTGCATCAATTTAGGTTTAGGATTTCTGTTAAATTTTCTGATCGTTGTTACAGTGAGAAAGCTTTGTGATTTTATACTCGGAGTAATAGGGATAGGTCGATTAGAAGAAATACTTGAAATATATATTTTCATTGTTTTTCCCAACGAGCTCTCGAGGATGAAACATTCTTATTTTTTGTCCCTAACAAATCTATCATTAAAAATTACATAAATAATAAAAATATAATTTTATTACATTTTTATATAATATACTTTTCAAAAACACTGCCCAAGGGTTAAAGGAACATTTTATTAAATACATCAAATCTTTTTTGGAGAAAAATCCTGCTGGATATGTACACTGAGAATTATCAACACAAGGAGGAATGAATCCAATGACACAAAGAAAATAAAACTGTAAAGCTAATGTGGCAGACTAGTCCAATTTGCCTAAATGCCATTACAGCTATTACAAATGGAACTTACTAGTGTCTATGCCTCCATGTATTTATATGCATGCTTAACAATATTTGGCCACTGTCCCTATAAGATGGTAGATTGTGCCAAGGATATCTCCCCCAGATCTGACTAGGGCATCACAGATTCAACCTGGTCACAGGTGCAGCTGAATTGATTAAGTAAAATGATGGAAACACAAATTAAACACAAAACATAAATACAAAAAATAACTAGAAAATACAAATGATATTTGTGGTATTATATATGTTACTTTTGTAAAAAAAAAAAAAAAGAAAAAAAAAAAAGGCATTCAGAAAGTGCTCTTTAGACTATATAAAATAGGGCCTACTACCATTTTCCCTTTCTAATTATTATTAAAATTCAATATAACATATATAAAAACAGGATTTTTGCAGTAACTATGGGATAAGTCTGGTCACTTTTTTTTTATCTTGATGTTTAGTCCATTGTTTTATTTGATCATGTATTTGTTTTAATGTTGAAAGCCCCCCTAAGGGATTTAAAATTGTGAAATAATCCAAGGTTGATGAGCTGGTATTTTATACAATTTTTATGTGTGATTGCAGTTTGGAGTGAGTGGCCTTACAAGTTTCTTGGAGTTCACTGAGAATGGCACAAATCCCAATATCTTCTTTGAAATCCTGGGAACAAATTATGGAGAAGACAGAGGTAGAGGAATCAGCAGGGTAAGTCTTCACTTATTTACAGTACTATAATTTCTGCATTTCCTTATTGGGATGTCTTATGTATTTAGATATTTCTAATTTTAAGATATATAAATAAATTAAATAAATTCAGCACCAAATATATCAAATTCTAATGGAATTAATTGGTTATATTTTTTGTGTCGATGTCTGTCTTTTAGTCCTAATTGTTTTGTGTTTTTGTTGGTCCAAGTGCAATGACTTCCGCTGCAGCTCACATCTTCTTCAGCTGAGAGCAATGTTAATTAAATGCCATTTTTAAGTGGCACTTTGTAATGGTAATGGCTGCATAATAAGAGCATAATGAATTTTTACAGGCCTCATGAAAGACTTCCCCTCCACTCAAACCCCGAAACAGATCGTCATATCCCTGTCTTTATTGATTTTTCTTTTGTTTTAATGCTTTTGTTTATAGGGATTCAGTGTATTTATTAAAATTCAAAATGTATAAGTTGTAATCAATATCATAAACTCTAATAAGGAAGTTTATTATTACATTTTTGTGCTAGATAATAATTTATACAATGTTGTTATGCACATTCAGGTCAAGACTCTTTGCTTCATTTGGAAATGCATCATTTATGATTTTATCAAGGACGTTCTGTTTTAAAATTCTTTACTTAATACATTATATTTACATCCCCCCAAAGCGGGTTGTAAAAAAAATTTTTTGTCTTGTTTTTGTCTTTCAAATTGTTGCACTTAAATATATCTCTTCCTGTATTTAATTCATACACAGCCTCTAACTATCTTTAAGTTGAATTTGATAAAAGATGGATTTATCTAGTTTTGGCTCTGGTCAAATACAAGTCATTTAATACTGTAAATTATATTATATAAGGACATTTTTTAATAAAAACATATTTAGTGTTTTTAATCACTTTCTGTTTTGCTTACGTAAATATGTTTTGCTCATATGGCTGAATCACAGCATTATTAAATATGCAAATTATGTTTTGACATCATTCAGCGCCTTCTGGCATCGTTTAGGACAGCCAGTAGTAATCATGTCTGATGTTGCTTGGGAGGTTTCTTTGCTACTAGTTTCTACGATGACCCAGAGGGTCCAAAAGCCACGACATGAAAACAACAATGTTGCTGTCCTGTAGATGGGCTCTACTGATTTAAAAATTCTATTACTTTTTGAAAATATTTTTATAGGGAGAATTGGTATCTGAAAAGTCTCTTCACTTCTCATCTCTTTATTCTCTCCCTATAAAACTTGTAGAGCTTTTGTGTTGCAAATTATTCTCAAAATTTATCAATTACGCATATAATAGACTATATTGCCAAAAGTATTCATTCACTTGCCTGAACTCACAAATACGGCAAAAGTAATGCACGGGACCCTCAAGCTCCTAGTCCTCTGGTGGAAAACCCAAGCTTGAAAGACAAAAAAAACATATGGTGAGTGGGGAAATGTTTAAAATTGTGTACATATCATTATCCAAACTTTTTTAAAAGGACAGAATTTTGTTTATTGTTCTTGGAATATATCCATTATATTGGATTCAGTTTCCCCTTGGATTACTTATAATTACTCTTCATGATAGGCAGTTCTCTGATAAGACCCAAGGTCCTTTTAAGTGTGTAGTACTAGTGCTGATGGTCAGAGATGGGAAGTAACGAAGTAGAAATACTTCGTTACTGTACTCAAGTAGATTTTTCTGATATTTTGACTTTACTTTACTACTTATTTTTATGGCGACTTTTTACTTCTACTCCTTAAATTTTTACACAAATATCTGTACTTTCTACTCCTTACATTTTAAAAAATTGGCTCGTTACTTTAGTTTTGAATCATTTCAATGGAGTTACCGTTATTATTTTTCACGTCATCAATACCAAATTCAATCTAATTGGATGGGAATCTACGTTGCATTTGACGCACCACTACAAGATGAATCGACAGATTCGGCGGTATTCATTCACGGCAAATCATTGCAGCTTGGTGGCGGTGGCGTTAGCAAAGTAGCATGGACGACGAGATGATTGAAAATGAACACAATGGAGATCTAGTCCAATTGGCAGACATCCATTTAAAATGTAGGCAACGGCATGAAAAAAGTGGTTTCTACTTTTACTTTTATACTTTAAGTAAATTTACAAGCCTTTACTTTGTTACTTTTACTTGAGTAAAGAAGTTTAATCAGTACTTCCACTTTTACCAGAGTATTTTTTAACACAAGTATCTGTACTTTTACTCGAGTACGGAAAGTGAGTACTTTTGCCATCTCTGCTGATGGTTGGACTAAATTACCTTGCCATATCTGCTATCTATACAGAGTACTAGGAAGCCTTTTTGTGCTTGTTACACAGACATACTGCACAAGGGTATTCCTTGGAGAAAATATTTCTGCACATGCTCAATATACATTTACATACATACCTTAGAGCTATAGTTTACAAAGATCAACAATAAAAAACAAGAATAAAAACACATTATCCCTGCCCTACATACTAGAAGAAACATTCAAATGTCAATGGGCTTACAGGTGCTGGTCATAAAATTAGAATATCATGAAAAAGTAGATTGATTTCAGTAATTCCATTTAAAAAGTGAAACTTGTATATTATATTCATACATTACATACAAACTCATATATTTCAGATGTTTATTTTGTTTAATTTTGATGATTACAAATGACAACAAATGAAAATCTCAAATTCATCATATCAGAAAATTAGAATATTACTGAAGACCAATAAAAACAAAGGATTTATAGAAATGTTGGCCAACTGAAAAGTATGAACATGAAAAGTATGAGCATGTACAGCACTCAGTATTTAGTTGGGCCTCCTTTGGCCTGTATTACTGCAGCAATGCGGCGTGGCATGGAGTCGATCAGTCTGTGGCACTGCTCAGGTGTTATGATAGCCCAGGTTGCTCTAATAGTGGCTTTTAGCTCTTCTGAATTGTTGGGTCTGGTGTATTGCATCTTCTTCTTCACAATACCCCATAGATTTTCTATGGGGTTAAGGTCAGGAGAGTTTGCTGGCCAATTAAGAACAGGGATACCATGGTCCTTCAACCAGGTACTGGTAGCTTTGGCACTGTGTGCAGGTGCCAAGTCCTGTTGGAAAATGAAATCTGCATCTCCAAAAAGTTGGTCAGCTGCAGGAAGCATGAAGTGCTCTAAAACTTCCTGGTATGTGGCTGCGTTGACCCTGGACCTCAGAAAACACAATGGACCAACACCAGCAGATGACATGGCACCCCAAACCATCACTGACTGTGGAAACTTTACACTGGACTTCAAGCAACGTGGATGAAGTGCCTCTCTTCTTTTCCTACAGACTCTGGGACCTTGATTTCCAAAGGAAATGCAAAATTTACTTTCATCAGAGAACATGACTTTGGACCACTCACCAGCAGTCCAGTCCTGTTTCTCTTTAGCCCAGGCAAGACGCTTCTGACGCTGTCTGTGGTTCAAGAGTGGCTTGACACAAGGAATGCGACAGCAGAAACCCATGTCTTTCATACGTCTGTGTGTGGTGGTTCTTGAAGCACTCACTCCAGCTGCAGTCCACTCTTTGTGAATCTCCCCCACATTTTTGAAGGGGTTTTGTTTCACAATCCTCTCCAGGGTGCGGTTATCTCTCTTGCTTGTACACTTTTTTCGACCACATCTTTTCCTTCCCTTCGCCTCTCTATTAATGTGCTTGGACACTGAGCTCTGTGAACAGCCAGCCTCTTTAGCGATGACCTTTTGTGTCTTGCCCTCCTTGTGCAAGGTGTCGATGGTCGTCTTTTGGACAACTGTCAAGTCAGCAGTCTTCCCCATGATTGTGTAGCCTATAGAACTAGACTGAAAGACCATTTAAAGGCTTTTGCAGGTGGTTTGAGTTAATTAGCTGATTAGAGTGTGGCACCAGGGGCCATCAATTTTGAACCTTTTCACAATATTCTAATTTTCTGATATGATGAATTTGAGATTTTCATTTGTTGTCATTTGTAATCATCAAAATTAAACAAAATAAACATCTGAAATATATGAGTTTGTATGTAATGTATGAATATAATATACAAGTTTCACTTTTTAAATGGAATTACTGAAATCAATCTACTTTTTCATGATATTCTAATTTTATGACCAGCACCTGTATAATGTGGGTTGATACCAACATAACACAGCATGCCATCACAGACTAAATTAATCTCTTCAGCATTAGTGCAAATGCATCAGAGCTAACTTTTTTGATCAAGTTGCAATTATTTCTGTTGGCATTAAGCAGTTTTTGTGGCTTTCCTGCCTTTGTGTTAGGTAGGCTTATGTTTCCACTTTATAGCCTGCTAAAAAATGTACTGTATATGTTTAGAACTCATATTTTTCATCTTAATTTGAAAGTTTATTCTAAATGTCTTTTTTATGACTTTCTGTTAAATAAAATCATGACGATATGAAATGTACTTTGAGAAAAGAGGTGAATAATTAGTTTTTTGTACTTTAACCTCATAAAACTTACATACTTACGTACATTTGTGAATTTTTTTCCTGTCATTGGGTTTCAGTTCAATTCAGTTCAGTTTATTTATATAGTGCTAATTCACAAAATATGTCATCTCAAGGCACTTTACAATTCAACAAGATAATTCAGTCAAATTGATTCAAAGTTTTCTATCTAAGGAAAACCAGTTGATTGCATCGACGCATCGACTTGCAGGCAATCCCTCACTAAGCATGCTTGTAGCAAGAGTGGAGAGGAAAAACTCGCTTTTAACAGGAAGAAACCTCCAGTATGACCAGATTGGTGTGAGCGGCCATCTGCCTAGGCACACTGAGGTTCAAGGAGACAGAAGCAGAAATAGAAAAAGAAGCAGAGATACAAAAGTCAATTGTAAACCAGCTTCACAGGCGGCCCCGTCCTGGAAACACATAGGCAGGCAGACAAGCTCCGTGCCAGCTCTCATGTCAGAGGATGAAGAGAGCACATCCAGCCAGTCACAGTCAAAGAAACAGGACTACTCTTAAAAACATGCT